TGGCCTGCAGTGTTCTTCACAACTTAGCCATTGAATTTAATGTGCCTGAACCACATGACGACCAAGAAAGCCAACAACATATATTTTCTCGACACGTGTTTCAGGAAAATGATATTGGAGATGATCTGGTTAGGGGAAGAGCAATAAGATCCATGCTGGTAGAGAGAATCAATAGACAATGAAATCTTTTGATCCTCTCTACCACATGAGTGTAGCATTTCTTTTAATTATTAATATAATTATTATAATTGTACTTCTTTTAATTATTAATATAATTATTATAATTGTTAAATTAAGTGACAGAACATGAATCTAAAAACTATATGTAGTTTTTAGATTCATGTTTTGTCACTTAATTTATTTTATTATTTGCTCTTCTTTTGTGTAGTGTGTTTTTTTTATCAGATATACATACATAATAAATAATATTGAAATATTTTAAATAAACAATTTTTTTTATATTAATCAGAATAGACTTCATATATGTGTAATAGGTAATAATTTAGATTTGATATATTTTCTCTATTAAATAAAACATTTGGTGTAAAAAGTAAAAATCCTTTTATTTATACATTTGTGAAAGAAATCAAAAGAAAACTATACTTATGTTACTGTCTTTTTCTTACTATAAAGATTATTTATTACTAAACAAATTAAATTAACTATTCATAATAACAATTGTTTTAATATTACATGCTATGCTATTTCTATCTACTTATCCTTATCAAAATACTTTGTAATAACATTCAAACATTCTTTCATAAATTCTAACCATTGAGCTTGTAATACAAGCTCTTGATCTCGCTGTCTTACCCTTTCACGAATCTCATAATCATGCAACTCTATTCTTTCTTTCTCTAATTTCTCGTACGCCAAATCACGCTCTCTAGCATACTGTCTTGCATTCCTATCAGATTCTATAAATAATTTTGCTAAGCTATCTTTTTTATTTCTTTTGGGAGCGGGTGGTTGCCATTCGTCTGCGTCATCAATGGTCGGAGGTCCGATATCATTTGTGGCTGTTGGATGTACAGTTATTGGATGTACAGTAGGCTGGCTGCTAGTGCCTGGAGTGTTCCAATGTTCTTCTGTAATAAATAAAACACAATCATACATTAAATATAACTTTTAAAAATAATTTGTAAGTAGTAATAAAAGTTTATATAAAAATATTAAATGATTAAGTACATATAAGTACCTGTGGTTTCCTCTAATATTGCTTCATGCTCATTTTCGGTAGGAATGTCAGGTGTATGAACTTCAGTCTATAACAAAAAAAAAAACAAAAAAGTAAAAAAAAACCTGAAACGAGATTTGAATCTTCGTCTTTTGTCAAAGTAAGTATTTTAATAGGATTTTGGTTATACTTTTCAAAGCTTAAACGTACATATAAGATATAATACAATTTGAGAAGACTAAGAATTATTTTTATTATAATAATGATAATATCGTGTTAATTATAATGGTTTAATATTATGAAATGTGTGTTAATAACAAACATGTAGAATAAATAATAAGTAAACCTGTTGAAACCCAGCCTCCACAATCTCCATGCCAGTAGCTGCCTGTACTCCAATTATTTGCATGACTCTATTTTCTAAATCAGTCAAAGATAATTGAAGTGCAGGCCCACCACCAGTGCCACTAGCAGCTCTATTAATTTTGGCCCATTTCCTTTTGGTGTTATTTTTTAAATCGCTCCACACCTTCAATATAAAAAATAACTTTGGAAGATACGTTCTAAATATAATAACAAAAAATTTCTTTGCCTAAAGCTAGACAAAAACTTGAGTGTAAAGTGATTTGGGTGACCACTTGGGAATGCATACCTTGCGCCACTTCTCCTCCGAGCGAAAATCACCCGTCCCTTCACTGTTCAATTTCTGTGTTAATTCCTTCCATTTTAATTGAATATAATGACGACCCCTAGGGCCACCAGATGGTTTAGACCACAGAACAGATAAAAAGGTAGAACGATTAAGTGGGCGGGGTCGTGCGACCATCCATATGCCCAAAACGGTCATATGAACGTCATGTTACTCAAATTTCCAGTTTATTATTTGCACAATGTCATAGTGGTCTATGGTGCGTCGAAAAATACGAAAATATGCCGAATAGTGCCGTTATTACGAGTCGTTTGCGTAATGAAAATGTAATTCTGAAAAAAGGAGAAATTTCATTTCATCGGTAAGTAAAAAATATTGGATATATATCAGTATATCGAGATATAATCACATTTTTTTTTCCGTGAGATTGTGTCAGTTGTTAACATAGTGCTTGCAGATATCGATAAAATGCTATCGATAGTACTTAACCCTAATATTATGAATGGCAATCAATTTACATGCAATTATAACATTAAATCTATTAAGATAAATAGTTAACAGAAATTTTTTAGAGATTTGTATGTTTTTGCTACATAATAGTGTTAATTTGTTACATAATAGTTGCCGCCAATTGTTACATAATAGTGTTAATTTACTATTAAATTTTGTAATTCATTGTGTAATGTCAACAATAAAGAGTTTTGTATTGTATGTTTCAGTTTTCATAAAAGAAAAGTGGATTGACGCGTGATAGAAATGGTCAATGGTTTCCTTCTAAAACTAGTTACATTTGTTCAACATATTTTTCTGTAAATGATTTTATTAATATTAAATAATATGATAAATTACTTACAAATTTATAATGAAATATTATGTATTACATCTAATTTTCTGATTATATTGTGAAATTAAATGTTACATTGGGATATTATTGAAATATAGTTTCAATGAGACATCTTTGTTATTATTTTCCATTCTTAATATATTATGCTTCATATAATACCTAGTTAGTAAAAAAAATATGGATCATTAAATATACAAAAAAATATAGCTAGGTATCAAAAAATAAAACTATGACTATATAATAGAAAAAAGGCTAATTCAAATTATAAAATCTAGCCCCCAAAGGGCCAAATTATCATCACTGTCACCTGCTCTTGATATGTGACCCCGTTGCAGCCTACTTCTGATTAAAACTGACAAAAATCGCAGTTACATTGCTACTTTAGCAAGATAGGAATTGGTCTAATTGATCGAGCCGTTTCAAGTGAAAGTTGATTACAATCATTGTGAAGTGATTACATACATATGGTATTTATTTTCATTGGATTTTTTTTCGTGAATATGCGAAATGATAAATTAATAAATTATTTTAATATATTAACCCAATATATCAATGATTTTCTGATTATCGATATCAAATTGTGAATCACAGGGCACATCACTATTTCAGTGTTGACAGAAGCGTAAAATTCTTTGCATTATATTTTGAAAAATTGATTTAATGCAGATACGTCGTGCAATAACATTTTTATGTAATGAAACATGTATTTCAAATGTTTACACATTAACTAATTTAATATCCGCGCACAAAATATAATATTTAGAACTAACAAAAGTAATTGTGCAAATTTTTATTATAGCTAGCCATACATTTTGTGTATTACTGTAAAATCACCTGTATTAATAGGCTAGTATATACTAATTTTGCTGAAACTTTTGTAGCCAATGGAAGCATCGCTCTCTTTGTGAGCTGAATAGGTGAAGTTTTATGTCTGTGTGATATCTGGCACGCGCGGTCCTAGTACTAATGTTAGTACGTTATCATTCTAACCTTTTTATCTGTTCTGTGGTTTAGACAAATCTCCGTTTCTGTGAAACCAATAAAACTAATTAACTTTTAAGTTCACCAGTCACTAAATGTGTGTGTAAATACAAAATCACAATAATGCTTTATTGATTTATATAAAGGCATAATAATTATTCACTTTACTTACTTTTCCATAAACTCTACCATCATTAAGTACTGTAAATGGCTTGTTCTCATTATTAGCACAATATTGTAATTATACCGCTCCGTCTGGGATGCCCCTTGTATCAACTTGACAAAATCAAGTTAGTCGTTCGGAATTCGAAGGTTGTTAAACCTTATACGTAGAATGTATTTAAAATTTGATATTAACATAGAATAACATAAGTTTATGAATAGTTTTTGTCACATTATATATTTATTATAGTATTTTTATTGTTTCCTTCAATATTATCAATTAATCTCCTAAAAAGATTCTCGCGTTAAAATATCGTATATTAAGAGATCTAATTTCAGAACGCAACATTCGTTCAAAATGGTTTGTGTTCGTTCATTTGATCCCGTTCAAATTACATTAGGATGACGTCATCAGCGTTATCGTGTCGAGTTCACGTGACGACGGCGAAAGTGCTTTGTGCTACGAACTAACGTAAACCTATCGGCGACTCGATACGTTCACGTTACGAATACTTTACAAGTTCGTGCTCGCCCTACTGATGCCGAACCCAATGCCGCACATGTTCACAAGCTGTGAACAGACACAGAAGCTATGCACACATGCACATGCTACATGTATTTATTTGCAGATCTATAATTTCATCTCGAGGATTATGTGGAATATCGTCTTAAATAATTTCATATATTTTGTCAGCAAACAATCCACTAAATATGTACTTTCTTGTATTGCTCAAATGGATTAATTCGCGTTCGGTTTACTTACGCGTCCTGAAAGCTTTCCATGTAATCTAAATCGACCATATCAATATAATCTTTATCTTAAGAATATGGATGAATTTTCAGCAAAGCGCAACCTATTTTGAGGTTAGACACGCGTTAAACAACTCTCAACGAGTGTTTATATTTTAAACAATGTTTAAGGGATGTTTAGCCTTAACCAATGCCTAAATACGATTTTGTAATAGATTTTTTTTTAAACACGTATTCAACGCGTGTTTATCTTTTTAGTAATAACACTGATGATGTTTAACAATACTTAAATTTTTCCCGAATTAATAGACTTAATTAATTAATAATATTAATAATAAATAAATGGACCATTTCCTCAGAAAGTTTCATATGATTTGTAGATGCCAATTTTATTGACAAATGCCTCCGTGATTTGTCTTCTATGAACATTGCATTTTTTATTCTTTGACTTTCTTCCGTCTTTGTTTCGCTTTTTCTCTCCACAATTTTCTCATTTTTATTTGCTCTTGTGGTGTGCAATCTTTGATAGTCTTTAATGCCCCTTGGTCTTTAGCTCTTTTATACTTTTCTCTGTCTTTCTTTCTTCTTTCTTCTAAAGCAGTTTCATCCATTTTGGCTCGAGCACGGCGCGAACTAAGTTTTTTCTGTTCTCGTCTTCGCATCTTTTTTTGCTCTTCGGTGAGGTTTTTCCTACACCGAGTGAGTCGTGGCATCGTACCTAAAATAACGCTTGCTTTATCGTAGCAAATTATGATTTTGATAACATATAATTTCAATTAAGTATGCTCAAACGACGACATCCTAAAATATATTTTCTGTGTAATAAAGATCTAAATGTATATTTGTACAAAACATAACATTCACTATTTTACTTTCATTTACTATAACTTTTACTAAACTTTTTGAGAGCTCTAGTGATACAAACTATTTATAATCTTTTTTGCGTTTATAATACGTACTGGTCAATTTCAACGCAGAAGTGCGTTCTAGCTTTTTTTTTATCACTCACACATTTTTTAAATTATAAAATAATAACAAAAATATTACTTTTGTAACTTATATTTATCTAAACAAACAGCTGAATTAAACATGCTCTGTTTATATATATATGTGTGTAAATATTAGACCAGGACCACTTCAATGATTTCTCACCTAATACGATTGTGCATCATGTTATTCCGAAAATTAAATTCAACGCGATTGCATTTGTATATGTAGTGTCGCGTTTAGAGTTTTCTTTGCATTATAATAGAGTTACGAAAACACTTATACTCTACTGGCAGAAACAATAGTGGCCCCATAATACTTACTTGGTGTAAATATAAAAAAATTAATAAAGATTAACAAACGAAAATTACAATTACTTAAAAAGATAACGTTTTTCAATATTTTATAAGATAAATATCGATATAGCATTGTGAATTCAAATGTAAATAAACATATTGATAATTATAATTTAACAAAGACACCATGTCGTGTTATATGTGCCGGGGCTTTGTGTGTGTGTTCTAAACGTGATTTGATAATGTGACCGTCATGCATAGCAGTGAAGCGAGCTTTACACGTGCTGCCCTTACTACATCGCCACACTGCCGTCCTCGAACTTCTCTCGTGCATATAAAAAGAGTAACCGTTGATTAGAGCGATATCTTTACCATTGTGTCTTTTCGTCCAAGTAACTGTAATATGATATCAAATATTATAAAGAAATCCATTAATCAAATTATTATTTTCGTCTCAATAATAATAATTAAAAGTGTTTTATTAAAGTTTATAATAATCACTGTTATACTGACAAATCTTATATTTGATGAACCATATCTTTTATATTTCTGAGGTAAATACATGTCTTTAAAAAAAAGAATCAAGGAATTATAGACGACTCCTGATTGATAGTTTGTATTTTCTAAGTATAAAGTCCTCGTATTCTAAGCTACTCATAGTAATTCGTATTAACACTTCTCTAAAAAGAATGTAATGACTAGTGGCTTTAAGGAAACAGAATCTTCTCGGCAATATTATTTCATTATTACACCTATTTCTGACAATCATAAATAAATTAAGAATAAAGCAGTTATAAATTAAAGTAGTAAGTTCTAAAATCATTAGTAAGACATATACGTTACATAAGATGATGATGTATGTACCTGAAGTAATAGTTGCACTGGATTAAAAACCCTTTATTAATGAATCTTCTATCAATGTTTTATTGTAAACTAATGTTGATAAATCCTTAAATATATTAAAAAAGGTATTTAATATAAATAATTATTAATATGTGCTTTAGAACCGAAACAGAAAAATTAAACGATTTTCTAATATTTTTTTTTAACATACATTTATAGTCTTATAAATAAGCCATTGCGAATAACATAATACGGCGGTTCGTGTGTATGCTCCAAATATTGTTTGAACATGAAACCATCTTCACGGTTTATAGAGAAACGTGCCTTACACGGCTGATTCCGTAGTGTATGGCTGGTGCAACGCCAATGTTCTGTTATGCCGCTATTAGCATAATTGTAAAATGTGTAATCTTGATACAATGCGATCTTTTTGCCAGCTTCTGTAGTCATCCAAGTAACTGAAAATCAATAATAATTATATAATTGTGCTATTACCATACACCAATGGATTCATGTTGATAAATGAAAAAAGCCGCTTTAAACCATATTCTGTGTAGTTTGATAAGTTCCCACGGTAACAGAAACACCTTTCTGGTAAAGGTCTTATTATCAGCGTAAAAAAGACACTCATATTTTATTGAATTATCATTTATAAACAATATAAACAAACATGGCCCCAAAACAGTTCCTATTGGGACGTATTTCAATATTATTAATTAACGACTAAAAAAATTACAAACTTATAAGGTAACCGTCTCGTATTATAAATTTAGGGGGCTCATGTGTGTGTTTCAAACTCATTTTGACGATTTGGCCGCTATGTGTGGCGACGAAACGACCTTTGCACTTATTGCCAATGCTGCACCGCCATGATAATGTGTTTGAATTTTTCTTGTGCATATAAAAAGAATAACCGTCGATTAACGCGATCTCCTTACCATTAGTCCTTCTTACCCAGCTTACTGTCAAGGCAAAAAATATTCATAAGTTCTACGGAGGTGGAACATTTAACGACAATAATGAATATTTTTAGGTATTTAATTGAATGCGAAATCATATTATTTCTATTTTCATACGAATAAAGAATAAAATCGATCGTAATATCACATAAATTGCTTTATTTTTGTACATCATTATTGTTAAAACTACATAAGGACTAGAGACTTCAAATAAATACGTACAATCAAGTTCACATTAAATCAAAATGCAAAAAACACTTGGAATGTGATTGCCTAAAAAAATAATCATAATGTATAAAATTTGGTGAAATCACTCAAACAATGCTTGACATAATCAGATTATGAGGTATCAATGTCATTTTACACACAAAGATGCGGCAGGTATTGAAAATTGGTTTGTTAGCAAAAAAGTTAGTATCAAATATCACGCCAGAAATTAAAAAGACATCATATAATCACAACGCATCAAATATATCAAACTCGCGCAAACAATATATAGAAAATTTTTGAATGTATTGATGTAATTTACCAACGACGATTTTAGTGATTTCGATGTATTCTAGAATTTCTAGTTATCCTCTCTTTCTCAGATAAATATTATCGTCCAGATTAATTAATAAATGTACCAGATGTGATTAAGTTACTAATACATTAACTGGATCACGTGACCTTTGCCTTTTCAATTAAATATACATACGATGGACGACAGTCGATAATGCAGTGATTACTGCGTTGGGTTTCGGTATGCGAAAGGTAGCAAATTTCGGGTATGGGTTAAAGGATGGATGACCGTGAGTTTATTACATCGAACTCCTTTGTACTTCGGAAGGCACGTTGAGCCGTTGGTCACGGCTCATCTGCAGCCGTTAAAGTCCGCCGATACGTACTGGGCGGTAGCCCATTCACTCTATTCAATTTCATCCATGGTAAAGGCCTATGCCCTACAACCCCTTGGGAACATTAATAGACTAGAGTATGACAATGGTGATGACACATACGATGACGAATATTCTTTACAATTAAAAACTCCTGAAATTTCTTTATTAGTAAATAAAGATATTTCGATTTCTGGTAACTAAAACTAATATCATAATTACCATTTTTGACTCTTCATTGTTTGATTAAAATGAATGATAGATAGAAAAAGGGACTTATGAAAATATAAATAGCCTTTGTAAAATGAATGTTGATAATCGACTAGAATAAAAGAAGATGGTTTTTAACGTCGACTGCAAATGGAATTAGACCGGTAGGGGCAATTCTACTAAGTTATCGTAATTATGGAAACTCAATAGCGCTTCAACTATAACCCTTTATAACAAAGTTCTTGTTACTAGATCACAAACTAAAATAACAGTCACCATTGATTTCTAAGGAAGACATTGCACTAATAATATTGTACTTCAGGTAGATGGTAAAAAAGCAGAATGCAAATAGTTGAAATTCTATTGAGATGCATTTATCACGTAAAAAATTGCAGAATCGAGGCGCAGATTAAGCGTATGACTGTTCAAATTTTGAAGTAGACGCCATCTTGGACCACATAATTGGGCGGTTTGTGGTCGTGCTCCAGTTTACCCCTGACTATCTTCCAGTCGGTCTTGGACATGGTGAACCTCGCTCTGCAATTGGAACCGTTGGTGCACCGCCATATGTCAGTTTTGTGACCTTGTTTGTTGCAGTAGTACGTGAAACCGTTGACGATGACCGCTTGCTTCCCGTTCCTGTGCTGGACCCAAGTCACTGAAACAGAAACCAATGATGAAACCTATCCTGAACGTATTAGTAACTAAATTAATGCTAATTGTACATACAAAATAAAAGTTAGAATAATTAGTATATGCTACTGAGTATATACTCACATTATAATAATCACAAGTAAATTTCTATCCAAATATATTTGTACACATAATATTATATCTCTTTACCAGTTAAAACAAAAATTGTTTTTTTTTTTAATTGAAAGAAATAGAAATTTCACAATTGCTTTTTGGAATTAAGATTTCAATAAATAAGATTTAAAATATATTTGAAAAACCTGATGGGTTAATGATACTTCTAATTTATTTGTCTTTGCAATGGTCTATGCAAATGGTAACCACAAAACGGATAAAGACAAAATAATAAAAAGCATTTGCAAATTTGCGACTTTAATAAAAAATATTATTGTAAAAATAAAAATTAGCGTTTTACTGAAACGAATATTTAGTTACATAACAATTCCGATAGATTGTACGAGTATTAAGGTATTTCAGATCTGAGTTTCTACCTCGTAATCATCATGAACTTCATGTAAACTTACATGTTTGAAGCCCGTGATTATAAGTGATAATACGATGTAATTAGCCAAAGTTCACACTTAAACAAAATCATTATCAAAAATACAGAAAACAATTGTTTACAAAGAAATACACTTACAACTAGATATGCTCCTTTACGTCAAAGTCAACCTACGACATTTATTTTTTATCTGCTTCAGAAAGCTAATTCCGAAAATGTCTTTTCTATATAATTTTCACCGATTTCTCACTATCATTAGATAGATATATAAGTGGAAAAGTGGAATTAACGATTAGTAACATAAGAACCTATTTCTTGAATTATATCTTAATATATATGCCTTTGTGGATAATGTATTTTGGAGGATCGTGGCCATGGATAAGGTTTGAATTTAGCACTTCTTGTTCTTTTATATAGAAACAAGCTCTGCAAGAACCTCCTTTCGTGCAACGCCAATATTCTTTTCTCTCTCCTTTCTTCGTGTTGCAGTAGAAAGAGTAACCATTCAATATCGCTAGCGTTTTCCCTGCAGCATTTTTTATCCATTGTATACTTGATAAACCTAAAAAAAGAAAATTAGACAACATCTCATACATTGCTCAGGTTACAAGATGAGTAGCTAAAGTATACTATTTTAGATAATGTAGGTACCACAACACGCAGACATTCTAGAAAAGGCGATTTTCTAATCTGACTTCACCGAGAATAAAGGTTATAATAAAATTGATTATTATTTCGCCTTCGCCGATACCCTTCGCTATGTTCTATACTGACTCATAATATGTACCTATGCTATTTCCTACAGACATTATTGATAATTGTTTTTATCCGGTCAATTGCTTCAGGATATAATGTTTCTTTCTCTTCTGCTACGTCTCCTGTTATTTGTAGAATGGTGAGTGTAGGATTTTGTATATACTTACTTCCCCATTCATTATTATATTTAAAATAAAACAAAGTATATTTTTTTTTAATCATTGATTTTAATATAACTCTATCGTAATTAAATAAATATGAAGAATAGTTAAAATTCATACGAACTTCTTAAAAATCTTAAGTTTGTACAACAAATTTATATTAACTAATACTTAATAAAAGTATTCTACCACATAGTCACTTTTAAATTCGTTGATTGTATTTTTATCACTCAATTTTATAAAAAAAATATGGAAAGTTAGCTTTTATATTATTTTCGGTCAGTCGAAGGTCATATTAACTGAGTGTAATTGAGCCACATAAATAACAGGTATGTATAACAACAACGTTAGGTAAGTGAGTATGTAAACAAATTACGAAGTCTTAGTATATATGCCATTTCTTATAACATAGTTACGTGCTTTGTGGTCATGGGGGTGTTCCGATATTATAATAGAATTGTCCGGCAACAGGACGAATCTGGCCTTGCATGTTCCCCCTTTTGTGCAACGCCAAAATAGTTTCCTATTACCGTATATCTTCGTTGTGTTACAATAAAATGTGTATCCGTTGATAATGGCAACAGTTTTTCCAGAATAATTTCTCGCCCATTGTACTTCTGTGAATAAATGGTACGGTTTAAAACTAGGCTATTAAAAAGGTACAAAATACGTATCTATGTAAGGAAAGGTTTTTGGAAATAATTATCAATATAAAGTAGGTAGAGCCCTTGTCTTCGTTTGTCTTTTGGCTTGGTTTTTTGTGGGTCTCGATAAGTACACATTTTAAATAATTTATGCAAATAATCTCTGACATTTATATATGTACAGGTTACAGTTGCTATTAATTTTAAGATAAGACACCACTGTAGAACTAACTATTATTTCATTAACATTCATAAGAAGGAAATGAAGAAACCAAAATAAAAAAAGACTTCTTTTATTAGATAGAAAGTGTCTCGTCCATAAACATGGCGCATTTTTATTGGTAAATAGGGCCTAAATGCGGAGTTCTGAAAATTGAAAAATATACATCCATTCGGGTAATCGCTTTCGATACTGCACGCTTGTTGGTCATCAGTTTCCTAATAGATCATCAGTCTATAAATGTAAACCTATATCAACCGCGTATGATGTAAATTCCCGTAAGTGAAATATTTTTCTTTAATCTTCGCAGAAATTATAGTTTAAACAAAAATTAAAGCTTTACCTCCTTTTAATATGATTAAAATAATACTGAGATTTAAGTATGATAGGTGGCAAAACAAGTTCTGATTACGCAAAGAGTTTTGATGCATCTAGCGCAACGCCAGCGACCTCTCCTATGACAAATAACGCACCTACGCGGTTTGATCATTATCTCCGGGTTATGCCCACCATTGTTAGAGTCCGAAAGTGAAGATGATAGCCTTGTCTCTCTTTTCTCGTTACGTGTATACGATCTTGTGACAGCATGTCTGAAACCTGTTTATTCAAAACACTTTACATTATGTACGTTCATCAAATATTGGAATTAAATTTTAAACTGTCAATTAATTAAGCTGACATTCTGCAGGTTTAGTTTCGATGAAAAGTTGGTAAGTTGTTTTACATCTTCTTAATGGAGGATTGCCCACGACGAAGGTCTGGTTTCTTTGTTGTATTATCATGATATCAGTATCAAAAGGTTTGATTTGGGACAAAGCTCTCATAATCGAATAGATCACGTATTACATATTTGAATATGCAAGAATAGAGAATGACCTAAGCGAAAGCCGTATCCAACTGCAAGGACCGTGCCTTGTGGTGCTCGTTTATATGAGTGTATAGAAACTACAAATTCAATAAAAAATTTAGGGTCAAACAAAAGACAAAAGACGAATGTAAAAATGGAAACAAGCACATTAGTTATTAAAAACCTGAAAATACAGTAAAGGCATTTAATGAAATGCCAGCGACCGTTCAGCAAGTATAAGAACTTGTTTGGATGGGGTCACTAATCAGCGTCAGTGCTGGCGCCTAAATATTTCCGTACCGTTTACAAGTCAGACATGTTTCAATATGTATGGTAACGTCTTTACGGTTCAATGTACAGTGGGTCAACACTGACTCGTCTCGATTTCAGGGTCAGTTACTGTCCCATGTGAACTTGGCTTAACTGACCTAATAGCGGCAATTGTATATCAAATAAGAAAGTATCATTGTCAAGGATTTATAAATTCTTTTAATTTTTTTAATAAAAAAAAGAACTAAATCACCCGTAGCTATTAATTATAACTCATAAAGACTGTAATTTACTTTTCACAAAACAACTTATATTTGTTCAAAACAAATGAAGTCAACATTATTTCACATCTTTTGATTCTTTTTCTTTGAAAGAGTATGGTGGAAATAAACTAGACTTAATTTAGTTTCTAACAGGAATAAATTTAATAGGTAGTTTACTTGTGTAAATAACTAAGACAATCGAAGTACACGATAATGACAGCACTATGTATAGCACGGTCGGCGAACAGAAAGAATTTTGTACAATAACCCGGCACTATACATCTCTTTCACTCATGCGCAAACATAATGCTATTGCGCTCGCACAGATGCATCTAGCCAATTTTGTCACAGTGAAGTGAATCTTAAATGTTTACGATATCTATCAAAAGGCACAAAGATCAACGTTCGAATTTCTCTTATATACCATATAATTATCTAGTCCCCAATATTTCGGCAATGTTGCAATCGCAAATATATATATTTACCCTCTTTTATGTTTGATATCGAAGACTTGTTAAATATACACAGTAGCAATTGTAAATTATTAAGGAAAGATTTTCGTCGGATTTTTACGTCGGATTACCTTCTAACAGTTTAATATTTTTAATAGATGTTTATCTAAATAACAATATAATTTAAATATAACAAATAAATACTATAACATGTTTATAATTTTTAACATTAAATGTGTGTATTGATTTAAAATATTCCATGTGTATAATGTTCAAAGCTTAAAATAAATTCCATTCCGTATAACGTACTCGGCTGCTTCATGATCATGAGAATGGAACATGGTAACGGTGTTTTCTGGCGAAATTGAAAAGGCAGCTTTACACGATCCTCCTTTTGTACAACGCCAATAACTTCGCCTTCTGGAGCCGATATTGTTAATTGTCTTACAATTATAAGTGTATCCATTAAACATGGCGAGTTTACTCCCTTTCTTGCTGTACATAAATTGTAAACCTAAAAAATATTTGTTCAATTTAAACCGTAAACAATATCTAGACTAATTAACGATTAATTTCTCTCCAACTTCTGGTTTGTAGATTAGTATAATAACATTAAATTCTAATTTTCAGTCAAGAAATTTGAATTGCGCTTAAAATTTATACATTTAGAATATATATAAGAATTTTCATATTACTTTGATTACGTAATTAATTATTTTATTTTTATTTTATTTAATTGCGTTTTAAAAGTGGTACAACAGAATTGGCACCGGTGTAAATAATTTCAACCACTGTAAAATATACTATTTGTAGTGATGCCAAGCTATTATTTTATCAATTATTATAACATGAAATAAAAGAGACAAAAACAAACAGAGAAAAATTTATTTACAAAAAAATAAACATGTAATAACTGGGTATACTTATGGTTAACAGGGCTCGTATGCGGGGTTAGGAAAATTTCTGTTACCCATGCACAATACGCATTCGCGGAGTCGTTTCCATTATAGTGCATTTACATTAGATACACGTGTGGAGTGCGGGCGCTCTCTGTAAGCTCATTTCATTAGACGATAAACCAACGTCAGTTAATGACGAATCAATGAAAAACTTACCTTATTCCGTATGCGGGCCCTATCAACTAGTCCAAATGAGGCATTAACCATTAATTTCAATCAGAGTTTCAGATTTTTACATTGGATACCATATTACCATCGTTATTGCACGCGAAAAACACCGACAAATATAACTTCTGGGCTAATTTATATTAACTTTAATACTTATGTCGCCTTCAGGGACTCATCGCATGCGTTATATCGACCAAAATAAATGAGTCCTAACTGTGAAAACCAGCAAAACAGAGTCGTTTTAAGCAAAGAGTTTTTATACATCTTGCGCAACGCCAAGAACTTTTTTTATGGCAAATAACGCATCGAAGTTGTTTTACCATTCGCTCCGGGTTATGCCCACCATTACTAGGGTTCGAAACAGATGATGGTGGTCTCTTTCGTTTGTTGTTACGTGAATACGATCTTGTGGCAGCATGCCGGAAACCTGTTTATTCACAACCATTTATAATTATCACAATATTTCTTATATTTACACATACATTACACTATACATTACTAAACAACTTTAGAAAGGTATTTTTTATCAATAGAATTCTATGCCCATCACACAATGTAGCAGTAAACATAAGTCTTAGATTTTGTCCATAATTCGCCGCTATTGAATCGCGATTTCTATTTCATTGCTGCTTGTAACACTATTCCTTACCAATGGAGTAATTGATAACAAAACGTGCCTAATACGCGCGTATTTCTGAACAGGGTTTTAGGGTTGGTGGTTCTCTGATGACTGAGTGGGTTCGACACACTCACGTACACTTTATTATGCCAATTTGAAAATATATTAAAAAAACTAAGACAGAACATCTTAACGTCATATGGTATGTAAGATTATGATAGTCATTGTGTGCACATAGTGCGCAAATTACACAATGATACTTATGCACAAATAATTGTTAACATAATAAAAGTAAATTAAAACAAAGAACGTGACTTATTTAACACTGCTTTTATCGAAAGCTTTGACGTAGACTGTATACCTATTAATTTAAAGAAAGGTTAGACAAGAAAATGAATATTTAATCACTTTGATATCCAAACTGAATACAGAAGTCATAATAATGCAAATTAGTCAACAACTACATTAGTTCATTCCAAGGTATAAAGTTGAAATCCACATGGTTTAATGCAACACAATTAAATTTTATAATATATGCCTTCCCGTATGACGTAAGTGGGTGGTGTATGATCATGATCTGGCTTCAACATTATTAATGTCGCATTCGGTGATAAAGCAAAGCGAGCTTTACACGATCCTCCTTTGCTGCAGCGCCAGTAGCTCTTCCAGTTCGATCCCCTATTAGGGTTAGTACAATTGTAAGTGTACCCATTTAGTATGGCAAGTTTAATCCCTTTACTATTATGTATCCATTGTAAACCTAAAAATAAGAATTATTTTAAGAATATGTTTATTTCTCACTGACTAGCAACTTTTATTTGTAAGGGTAGTTTCTGTGGAAATAAAATATATATTTAATTTATATGTATGTATTAGAGTCACATAATTATCCAAGTAATCATACGTCCTACTGAAATTCTGAATAAAAATACAAGTACTTATTGATTGAGTATTTGTAATTGGATAAACAAGTAAGACATCATTAAAATTTTAGCAAGTCACGGCCAAGAGACCTTCTTAACATTAAATCGAATACATAAGTCTACTTGAAACATACGCCATTTCGCACATAAAACATAGGTGGTTTGTGATTATGTTCCAGCGTAGAGCGGATTACTTTACCACCCTTGTTGGTGATTATCCGCGCTTTGCAACTGGTGCCGAAAGTACACCACCAGTAATTTGAATTCAGCTGCTCTCTTTGACGGTAAAAAGTGTGACCTGCCGCTACTATTATAGCCTGGCCACGACGATTTTTCACAAACTGAACTGTAATGACAAAGGTGTTAGAATAAATCAATGTTAATTTATTTTTTTTCGTTGCTTTAAATCGCAGACCAAACGCGCTAACAGCGTCATCGAGCTCGTCAATCTTCTTTTTCTTTCTACAAACTTTTATATCTCGTCTCTCTTTATAAAAAATAATTATTGGATCGAGCTGGAATATCAAAATAGCTAGACTATTGTTCTAGCGCTCCGTTATTTTCATACTGTATTAATAACAGTCCGTCATATTAAAATAATATTTTACAATTACACACCTTTTTAATTGGCTGTATAAGAGATCTCTAGTAGACATAAGCCTACTTCGTAAGCTCACCATTGTTTTCATTTATCTTGTGTGCAATAAAGATTTACCTACATCTAATTTGATTGCTTTTTATAATAATCAAAGGTTTCACGATCAAATTTGATCTTTGACCTTAGCACATTAAGATATAAATCAATTGCAGAAAATTATCAATTTTGTCTTAATTGTCATTAATCTAAAATAGAGATATTTCTTATAAAAAAATACAAAGTTATCAGTTTTATGTTGTATCAAATGCAAATAACCTCTATTCGGCAGCAAAACTTCAACTAACACCCCATTGATGATTCCGTACCAGCTGCTCGCGTTACCTGTACTTAGATGAAGGTACAAAATACACGCCTTAATAAACCTTATGTGAACGACACAACGTTTATATTTCAAAACAGCATCGGCAAACACCATGCTGTGATAATAATAAGTTTGGTTTTGGTGACTGGTATTTAATCGTTGGGGTCTGACTATGTTTGTAAGGTGTAACTTTGACATTTGAACATTTTGGAGACCATTTTAAAGACAAAATCAAATACAGTATCTACAATTACAAAAGAATAAAGGCACGCACACACAAACACTTACCAAACTGCATCCAAGGTTTGAAAGATTACACAAATTCGCGAACATAAATATCACAGCACCATTCTACGATTATGAATGTAGAGGCAATACTACACAAACATATGTGGGTAGTTAAACATTACACTATAAGCACAATTAAACACACACTACAATTGTATTTACATCAATACATATTCACACAACAGAACTTGACATTTAGAATAATATTACATTTCTGCCTTGTAGACTTATATTTCGAATGATGTTTATGCGAAATAAAGCTAGGTATAGGTTGGAGTAATATCGCGAGGCACAACGCACGAATCACCGCGCGGTGCGAGTTACAACTAAACGATATCGTCCACACGCGGTGCCGCGCTGTTTCCACCCGTACGTTTTGTATACGACAGTTGTATTTTGTACCGCGCAGCGCGTTTATCTATACTTGCAATTAGCCTAAATTGGCAATCCGCTAGGAGCCTGTCGCATAAGTTGATGTTGTTTTGTTGAATGTATTTTTTTTAAACACAGTAAAATACAAAAATAATACAATACAAAAATACAGTAGGTGTTTCTTTGCCATCTTCTTTTCAACTCTTTTACTCCTACATTATTAATATTTTAACGAAATAATTTTAATTCGGATTTTTATTATGAAATTAAAAATACATTAACGTGTTATGTGGCTGAAATGTAAAAATGTCTACTAAATTTAAAAAAATAAATAAGACATGATCGATAAAACAAAAACAAATATTTGATAAATTATACATTTGCAATAGCAATGCTTTATTGACATTTATCTCGAAGAATCTTTAAAGACAGATCACGCTTACTCGAAGTTAAAGTGACAAGTGCTTGAGGAATTCGTCAGTCGCCAAAGTGGTTAGAAACAGAAAAGTAACAAGGGTATCAGAAATATTATAGTCGTCGAAGTTGGTAATAGGAAATGGTTTATCACATTAAAAAAGAAAAAGTTTTCGTCATATATACTAGGAATATTTCATAAATTTAGAATTTAAAATTTAAAATGCTATTTATTAGACAGTACATAAATACTAAAAAAATTTACAATCACAGAATATTGATGAAAAACACTCACTGGCGACTAAAGTAACCAGTATCGCAATACTATCAAGTACTTGCATTTTACCATTGTACTATCTACCCGAAGTCCAATATTATTAGTGCTATGTCTTAATGGTAATATAATAATAGTGGACTACAGGTAGATAGTACAAAGTAGTTGAAATTCTATTGAGATGCAATTATTACGTACACATTAACAGAAATGCAAGAGTCGTGACAGTCAGAGAAAGTGATAGCCGCTTCTGAAATTCAATAGTCGGCTGAGTCGGTTAGAAAAGTAGCCCGGATTACGTAATATTACGGATTTGTATACCACATGGAGCACGGCTGTAATTCATTGTTTTTAAGTAGTTGTTTTTCTATAAATTAAATGATAAGATTAATACTGTATATAAGATACTTTCGTGTTCGATTACACACAAAAAATTTTCAGAGTCATAATATGGACAGTTTATTTAAAGTTTAAAATATATCCCATTTATAATTGTATATCGGTTCATGCTGTGAAAGTGTTCAATAGTTGCACGTAAGATCTCCTTCTCGTGACTAGTTATAACACGCGACCGACAGTTAGTCTTGGTGCAATACCATTGCAAAGTCTTGGAAAATCTTCGTTGGAGGTAGAAAGTGTAATCATCGAGGATCAGAATATCCTTGCCAGCTATGTTGCGAACCCATTGAACTGAAAACCGAATACAAAATAATTCAAAAATACAAGAAGTGAATAGAAAAGTGTACATAACCCGTAAAATGTCCTTCTTGTGGGTAGTTATAACACGAGACCAACGCTTAGGGTTGGTGTAACACTATTGTATATTATTAACTTGTTTTCGTTTGAAGGTAAAAAGTGAAACCATTGAAGATGAGCATATACTTGCCAAGAAAAAGTGCATACCCTTTTAACTGAAAATCAAACACAATAATACGATAAAATAAAATAAGATTGAAAATAATAATAATATGTTATTATTATTATATATTTGTATAGCCTTTTAAAATGCCCAAGAAACGTATTATTAAGCTATCCTACCATACAAACTTTAGAATTAAATCTGAATAAGTGCTCAGCGGAAAATGACCAAAGTTAAAACACTAATAAAGAATCAGCAGACCGATTCTGTGAAATTCCGAACCCGAATTCGAATTCACTAATGTGTCCGAATACTCGTCATTTAGTGAAGAAATTCTATTGATTCCATTTTTTATATAAAAATACAAAACAAAATTTATCGATAATACAAGTCTGAGACTATGCCATTTAGTTGCCGATTTTTGGTGTACCAAACCCTGAGTGAACTCGAATTCGGGTTTAGATTTTTACAGATTCGCAGAGCAGGTTCTACAATATTTAATCAAAATACTTTGAGGGATAGCCGAGTATATTGTCCAAATACTAGTACACAAAGTATTTTACATATTAACTAATCTTCACAAATTAAAGGCAAAGGGAAAATATATATATATATTAACTTTTAATACTTTTTATTTACAATATTTTATTACAGTATTATGAACTCGAATAACGTTAGCGTAAAGCAATCTCAAAACATTCGCTCTTTCAAAAGCAACTACATATGAAAAGCGGACCAATTAAACAAAGAAAATTACCTCGCGCTTCTAAAAATCAAACGTAACTAATAATATTTATTTAATAAATTTTGCATTTACATTTACAATGCCATTTCATATTTATCACATAAGAAAATAGGTAGGTTGATTAAATTTTTACTAAACTATGTAGAAAAGCTTTCCAACAATTCATCTATATTGCACGTATGTATATAAAAATGTTACATGATACACTACAATAAAAAAAGACGTTAAATATATATGAAGTATTTATAAAAGCCATCGTTTTGCAGAAGTCTCCCATCTAAGCAACCATAAATTGGTGTTCCAATTTGCTACTGATAATTAAGAGCAACAGATGAAGTGTAGCTGTCTACCAAAATAAGATCCAGGATAAGATAAAGCATTGCTATAGGTTTTCAAAACTGTGAAACTATGATGTCTAGCAACTTCCAGATACATTCAGTATCAGCAAGACCTGCTATGCAACGCCCGCACACAAATTCACATACAAAAAAGACAAAAAATCTCATAAGATCTACTTTTGGTACTAGATACAGTTTAACGGTTATAGTAATGGCCTTCCGCAAAATAATGCCTGATTCTATAAAATAGGTATTTTGCTATAAGCAATAACATGGAAATATCAACCAATGAGATCTTCTATGGAGAAATAATACTTTATGGATATTTCTTCAGATTCTATATAATATACCGTCGTGTATCGTGAATCGTGGTTTATCATGTGAGTGAGCGTAACAGAAACGTATTACTTTGCCACATTTCGTTGTCGTGAATCGAGAGTGGCACATGCCAGACCTCGTGCACTGCCACGTGATCACTGTCTTTTTTCTATTATCCGAATAGAATGTGTATCCGTCTACAACTGCTATGTCCTTCCCCTTCTTATTCTTGTAGTATAACACTGAAATGGCATCATCAAGAAAGTTAATGAATAGCAGATCAAAAGTGAAAGGTGCTTGTGAATATTGACAACCATCAGAGCTGGCCAAAAGATTTGGATGGAATTCAATTTTTATATTTTTAACATTAGATATATAAAACGACATTTCAATTATATTAGCGAGTGTATTTTTGAAAATTATAACATTCTCCAGTAATTTAAATTAGAATTCATAATTCTTAACAATAAAAACAAGTTCAATTGCGATGTGTCATTAAATTATAGAATTAAATTTTATAATAAACACCATCCCTTATGATGTACTTGGGGGAGTCGTGTGTGTGTTCGAAATATGCATCCACCATCTCCCCAGTGACCGTCATGATGAACCTGGACTTGCAGTTCCCCCACCTGGTGCACCGCCAGATGTTATTTTTGGCACCTTTGTTTCCGCAGTAGTATTTATGGCCGTTAACGATAGCCAGCTGTTTGCCGGAATGGTTTCTCACAAACATCACTACGGGAACATAGATCTCGTAAGTCATTTAATAATACAATAAAATGTTACAGGTACATAGACAAAGAGCGGACCCCACAAACTTCGTGGATTCCAATGTAGCTTTGAAAATATTATTAAATATAAAAACTAAAGTACCAATTTCAATATTTAAAATATGAAATTTCAAAAAACTTTTTTTCATAAAAAAGTTTTATTAAATATGTATAGGTAAACATGTGAACTATATCCTCGTAAGTACATTGATTGGATCCTTCGAAAATAAAAGTACTTAAAATATAATAACAAAATTATTTACTTACATAAGTATCCAAACAAATTACTTATTATTATATAGAGTCGAACATAATATAATTTCATGATTATTTATTATATTATATATTACTATTTACATTTATTGCTAGAAAAAAACGAATCATATTCTTAATACGATGTCCCTGTAATCATAATAGAGTCTGCTTGTTTGGACCACATCACTTATTTTCCCGTTAATTCACAAAATAAAAACACTAAATCTTGGAATGAAATATAAAACTAAATATAATTAAACGTGGTCGCCAAATACCGATTAATCCTTGTCCTTAAATAGCCTACGAACAAACACGACGAAGTATGTGATATTGTTATTTTAGCTTTCTCAATATTTTGCAAGTTATACTTATCCCCCGCTCCGGTTAACCCCCTTTTTAGTTGTAAGCTGCGTTACAAACGAATAAACGTGTGAATATGTCGCACGCACATGTTGAGGTTTGGAAATGACTGGTCTATTTCCCAAATGTTCGTTAACAGTTATCAAATGAATTATTAACGTCCTTCTTAGATATTCTTATTAAAAATCCGTCTTTAAAAGCAATTGCTGGTGGACTATGCGAATGTTGTAGAGTGGTTATTTTGATTAATTCTCCTTGTGCGGTCGCCTTGAACCTTGCCTTGCACGGGTAGCCGTTTGTACACCGCCACATGCCCACGTAGTCTGATGGTATCTTGTTGCAATAATAATATGTATAGCCATCGAACAGCGCTAGACGTTTACCTTTCGTGTTGTACACAAATTCCACTGAAATCAATGACCAAAACATTAGAAACGAGAATTATTCAATGCAAAATGAACATAAAAATTCTTTTGCCTAAAAAAATAGATTTAAAAAGGTTTTGCCTTGGCTGCCAAGAATATAGATAAAATGTCTTATATAGTCTTCAAGAGTAGATATTACCAAATTTTATATAATAAGGAATATGCGTCTGATTCAAAAAAAGGTTAAATATATTTTATTACAATCGTTATTGCTTTAGAATAAATTCTATCTAAATATATTTCAATATTAGTTTGTTTTCGTCTTGCAAATAATTATTAAAAAGTGCAAAATAGATGCGGTAACTTCAAAATATTTAAACGTCATGCTACTTGTCAGAGCTGATGTGACGAAAATGTACACGTATAGGGATGTCGTTGTTACAAAAAGTTAACATCGATGCAATAACATCAATGTATTACGTCGCAAAATAAACAACTGATTACAATTTACATGATTTTTAGGCTTTTATTTTTATTTCACCAATTAAGTAAATTATATGATTTATTAAAAAAGTCTATTATAGTTTAAAAAATCGATTACTTGTTAATCGATTTAGGTAATTGAATAATAATCTATTACTCAAAAACCCATATTGATTTAAAATGTCATATCTCTAGTCGTGTACTTTGAAGTCACGACGAGCGCGCCAAAAATTCCGGTGTTTAAACTGCTCATAGCTATTACTTATTTTCATCAATGATTAATGTTACAAAATTTTAGTTTTTCGGTGCCGGGTATTTTTTTACAGTTATATATCGATGTTAATTATCATATAAAACCATTTTCCAAAAATTTGCATATTCCCTATTCTTATTAATATTTAAGTGTGAGACAAGAATAATTTATTTCTTTATATTGAATTTTGCGGCGTTTTTATTTACTATTATCGAGCATCGCACAGAACATGAATAGTAACATATTCATATAAATACAACAAATATGTATCGTAAATTAATATTAGATATTCCTCGGATATGAGCTGCAATTTCTATCTATCTTATGTATTTACCACAACAAACAGGAAAGAGGAGAATTTTCAAAACTTATTGTCGATATATCATCAACTTACATATAATCTACTATAATATATCTCTGTCATTTTCCCTATGACATTAAAATACGTAAATTAAAACAGGATATACAACCGAAACTGTCAATGTATCCATACATCATTTTTTAATACATAAATATACGTGAAATGCCGTATAGCTTTTCAGATTTATAAATTTTGTACATATTAATAGAGATACAATTAATATGAAAGCCTTACAGACTTTTGTTAAAAATAAAAGAAGAAAAACAAAAAATTTACTGTTTACTTTGGATTTTTTTAATAAAACGACCTCTTTTTTTTAGTTAGGATGTATATTATCGATTACCTAAGATTATCGTAATCGTATTGAAATAAAATAATATAAAACATTTTACAATAGCCTTTTAATAACCAAGTAATTAATATTACACATTTTTTATTTTAAAAATGATTTAAAAGTGATAAAAATTCTATACCGGTAACTACATGACTTGAAATACGGATATATAAAAAAAAGAAACTATCTTAAAAGAAAATACTTAAAAAATTCACCAGTCGCAGGTGCCAAAGTGGATGACCGCATGGACAAATACAATTTGCATGTAATGATTACTACGGATTGAACCTTGAACTCGATGATACATTTCAATTATTGTAACAACCCTTAACCTTACAATAATTCAAATGTATCTAAAATACTTAGGTTTCGGTTTCGATTCCCATACCTTCCTTTAAAGTAAGTATTAGCCTTTTACAATCCGTTACATGATAATTAAGCTAATTTTCGTATTAATTAAGTTTTTTGAACACGACTTCTCCAACAACTTTCTTTATCATTTCTTAAGGGTATAATATGTTAGCATAAAAGTATGAATTTCTTAATCAATCTGTTTAAAACAATATTACAAGTACATTAAAAAATCTTTATGATTTTTTATATAATATTGTATGACTCGTATTCTTGTAAATTGAAGCTGTGGTGATAGCAGTTTTTTTATTACATCTCTACTACAGTATTTTCTTAAATCTCGGTTCAAGGTTATTAATCTCAATTACAGGATTCCCGGTTCTATCTATGGTCAATTACTTTACAGCTTCGTCACACAAGACCCAGCTGCGTTCGCTACATCAGCTGCTATTGAATGAACGAATTGGTCTTAGCGCAGCTACTATTGGAAAAGAAAAAGGACCACTTAGCTACTTCTGTATATTTTCCATCCAAGATTGGATAATGAAATATCATCATCATCAGCCCTTCTACGTCCCTACTACAGGGCTCAGGCCACCCTTATGGATGGTTAAGGAGGATGGGCAATGACCCTCCACGCTGGCCCAATTCGTATTGGAGATTATTAACAACTGCAAATGTAACCATGAGCCGTTGGTAGCGGTTGCACACTTAGCGTGCCTTACGAAGCACGGAGTAGCTAGAGATAATAATTTTTTGGTCACCCATCCCGTGACCGACCCTTGTGAAAGTAGCTTAACAACACCGAGCTACTTTTCGTATATGCTTTCTTTTTAGACACTTCTTACAACCTGTGCCAGACGACCTCCCCGACTCTCTTTCCCTCTCAGTTCATAACATTATGAAAAACTGAAAAGTCTCAAAATGAAAATCAGTTAAAAAGCAATTCCTAAGAAGGCTCGTGATTGTGAACTCCGGTGCTTTTGACTATAATATCGTCCGCAGTGATGAGGGATCCGCGACAGCATTTATTTTTTTTCACACAACGCCATCTTGTTTTTATTCCGTAGGTGTAGTCCTTTATGTATCTGTAACCGTCCATTTGAATCACTCTACCTCTTTTTGTTTGTAGAAAATAAGCTCCTGAAAAAAATAAATATTCAAAACATTTTATTGTACGAATCAAAACTTCGAGTCCGCATCACACTTCTAAAATTATGCAACAATATTAAAACAAAAGTGAATGGTTATTAACGAGACCAAATTAAGAAATAGTAAAAAAAGTTCAAGAAAAATCTGGTGGGGGTAAACAAATTAAACTTAAAAGTATATGAAATGTTATATCATATATCTACTATTTACGCCCAAAGCCGTCGAGCAAGCGACTTGAATTGTTATAATAATAATAACAATTTATAGAAATCTTGTTTATCTCTAATAAATTAAAGGCAACATATTTATTGAAAACATTACTTGCTTGAACTATAGTTTGAAATGAATTATGAGATCTAAATATAAACAAAAGAGTCAAACTCTAAACCTAGGGGTAATCACCCCCAGTAAATCAGCTATTTTTTGGGAATAATAAAGAACCTAAAATAAGATATTATCATGGGCGCATCTAGAGGTCTTTCAGATGAGGCTTGGTTGTCAATTAGGCACGCCGTGTCTGGGGGACCCGCTAAGTAAAACTACTGCTTTGCAAAACATATTTCACAAAATAAATCGTAATTAACTAAAGTAAATGATTATATGTTTGAGTAACATAAATTTAAACCTGTTTTTACGTTATATTATATATTGTTTCCTGTAAACATTTATTTTTAAGTATGATAAAAGCATCTGCTTCATTAAAATGATATATTGGCTTAAAATTAATATAACATAAATTTTGTTAATTTATTATCATTTACCGATTTTTATTTTTTTAATATAAAGTCATGATAAAAATTGAAACTATAAAGCACTGAAAAAATGGCGGCAGCGACTATCGTAGATCGTTATTAGGTATGACTGTATGGTAAAAAATAAAATATTAAGAAACTAGGTATATTTTTTATTAACACTTACAAACAAAACAATAATAGTTTAGAAGAAGCCACGCAAAATTTGTGTGGTTGAAAAATCCAGAATCTGATGGCACAAAATAAATATTGATTTTCATATGGCAACATAAATTGTCAAGTGTAAATTTTTGTGAATATTTGTGAAAATATTAATTTATTTTGTGAAAATTTCCAAAAAGTCATTGGTATCTAAGGTGAGAAATATTGTTTGTAATGTTTATAGCAAAGTTTGTGAAAAGAACCTGAAGATTAATGAAATTGTTTGATTTCAAAGTGTGTTTATGAATTGTCCGGTGCAATGCAATATGAGTAGCAATGACCAGTCTTGATACTTGATTTTTTTCTAAAGAATTTTAATTAAGAAATTTTAGTTGGCGTGGCGACTACTGCAATACATTATTAGTGAAAGAGAAGATATAAAGACATCTTTACACGCCGGGAAAAAATAGGAACGGTGGGAAGAAAAAATAAAGTGGATTTGATTTAGATGTGTAAGAGTAACAGACTGTTTCAATATTAGTAGAGATTTGCTAATCTTAAATACATAAAGCTTCTTTTATTATTCATGTTAAATTCCCGGTCAGGTAAAATATCATTGAGGTTTTCTGTCGGGTCGGGGGGGACTATCGATATAAAATATGAAGCAGTTATTAAAAAGTTTTTATTATATTAAAATATTACAAGTATCAAGGTGTCTTTATCCTTTTTCCCTAATATCGTTTTCTACAAATTAAAATTCCGCGATTTGCCATCAGATTATGGTACACCGATACAAAGTAATGTGCAATTAATTTCGTGGAACTATCACGGCGTCAATCCTTCTATATAAATCTTTCTTATAATTCTTTTATATAAACCTTTTTAAAATCAACAAAAGGGATCATGATTATGAAGACAATTTTTTAAAATTATCATATTATCCACAGTGAAGAGGGCACCACGACAACGAGTGCGCCTGCTCACGCAACGCCATCTTGTTTTTACTCCGTAACTATAGTCTTTGACGTACCTAAAACCATCATTTTCCATAACTATGCCTCTTGATGTTTTCAGAATACGAACCTCTGAAAAAAAAAGTGATCAATCTAAAATGAAAACACGGAGAGAACTGGAAAAATGGAAGTTGAGGAAGACGCTGAAAATGTCGTTGACAGAAGTTCGTACGAACGCCACCATACTTCAAGAACTATCTTCTTTGGGCATATCACCATACTTCAAGAACTATCTTCTTTGGGCATTGTGAGGAGGGTTACATCAGCTACCGATGATCCTGCCTCATCATGATCACAGCCGCTCAGTCAAGAGCGCAGAAAAAGGAAAAAGAAATCATCATTATATCAGCTGTACGATGCCCACTGCTGAGCATAGGCCTCCTCACGGATCCCCACAATAATCGTTTCTGCTTAGCATACTTCCAATGACTTCCTTCCACCTTTATCAGATCAAGGAGATAAAATTTGGAACCATTACAGTGATAAGAAAACATGCTACTTTATTTCGCGAGAAGACACCAAATCGTGGACGCAAAGAAACTCGTTACTACTTAATAAATAACATTTGTCATAATTACAGATTGTAGCTAATTATGTGGATAGAAACTTATAATTATTGTGGTATTTTTTATTCATAAATGTTATTCCAGCGTGCAAAATAAAATAAAACAAAAATATTTTTCTTTTGAAAATTGTACCTTAGCGATGAAAATTCAAATAATCAAATTTATATATGTATTTCAACAAATAAAAGCCACATTAAGCATTGCTCAAAATAGTTTATTTAAGAAAAATCATTTACACCAAGAATGATTCAAGCATCACGCCATCCGGCGATCGACGCCTAATCCACACTCACTCAGTGAGTCTGACACCTAACGCGTTATATTTTACACGTCATGGTTAATAATACAGATTTATATACTAGAAGATCTGAGGGGCTACTCTGTTTGTCTACGAACGAAAATTACAAAAATTTCGAATCGTTCTTACAATTTTTTAAAATTATATGCGTCATTATTATCTGTGCATCAGAAGCAGTGTCAGGATCCTCCGATTCATTATAAATTATCGAAAAATGTGTTCCTTTAAAGTCCTATTAGGGTTTCGAAAGTAGATGAATTTACGTTTTCGAGGAAACAGAATAGACCTTCTGCTCTGTGTTAACAAAGATTCACCGTACACCGTAATAGTTAGTATTGAAACTTACTGTTCAACTATCTGGAAATTCTGGGACGGAAAGCTATCTAATAAATAATAATATAATTAATTATAAAACTGAAACAGAATCTTCAATAAATAGAATGTTAAAAAACTCATTAAGCTATAGATAGTGCTCTCTACGAAGACGGGTCGCTCTATATTTTCGCGAGGCTTGCGCAGTCTTCGGAATACTTTTTTGTTCTTCAAAGTAAAATAACCTACAACTGTATTCACGTTCAACTCGTTATATATATAAAGAGCAAACTTGACTCACTTATATATAAACGCAGTACCGAAACTACTGTACCTAAAAACTTGAAATTTGGTACAAGGGTTCCTTCCATGATGTAAGTGAGCACCAAGAAAGGATTTTTAGGAAATTCAAGCCCTAAGGGGTAAAATAGGATGGTGACATTTATATAGATCACGCGGGCGCTGGCGGAAAGCTAAAAATTAATTGCGGGCATCTTCGGGAATGGATACTACAAAAACCATCACAAAACATGATGTTATCTAGAATAAAATGTGACCCCACAAGCAGTATACGTCCGCGGCGGTTCGTGTGAGTGTTCATGTACGAATTTCACGACTTTATAATCTTTAGTTGTGACCACTACAGCGGTACAACCTTTGTGATACCACGTGCAATGCCATCTCAAGTTGTTGTGTCTGGCTGATTGCCGTCTATTGTACATATATGAGTCGACCCTCAACGAGTACCCGCCTCGCGCCATTTTGACAATTTCACCTGCAAATATAAACTATTGAGTACAAAGAAATTATATTACATTTTTAAAGTTACAAAAATAAATATACTAGACCCTTCGGTTATTGATTTTAGATTGAATTTATTTAGCGATATTTTGAAATAAAATATAAAACTAAAATTAATTATTAACATAGTGAATACTATAAATCTTTTTTAACAATCATAAAAAGTCATAAATGTTTACTTTATGTTGTTTATTAACATCTGATTTCAGATATTTTTGAATTTGTAATTCGACTTTTATTCGCTTCGACCATTAGTTACGCTCACATAAAAAAGTGTTATGATAAATATTAATAAACTAGCTGACCCGACAGACTTCGTCCTGTCAAAAAGATTTGTAATGTGGCAGTTATTTTGCCTACGTATTTAAAAAAATTCTCCTGAACAGAACCGTCACCCTGGTGATAGGGCGTTGTGAATAAAAAATAATTAAATAAAACATATATAAGGATTTAAAAGTAAGTAATCGCTTTATTGTTAATCATGTGAATCATAATATTATTGCAATGTATTAATAGTAATAGTATTAAATATAGAAAAAAGAGATTTTTATGATCATAAAAACACATTACACACAACAGCATTATAAAAGTAAACTATTCGAATTAAAAAAATATATAAACATTCTCAAGGAAAAATGCTGGAAGAATCCATCTACCTGTACCCCGGAATGGGACTCGAACCCATTCGCGATCCAGGGACTGCTCTAACCAATGAGCTATCTAGGACCCAACAGCTTTGCTACTACAGAGCGTATTTTCATCAATGTTCCGGCAATACATGTAATGACGTGGAAACTGATGCATTTTATCTCGCGTGCCGAAACTAATACAAAAGAAACGCGAGTTTCGGAACGCGACATTAAACTCCTCCAACTATGTATTCTGTGCTCCAACGCACACACGCACATTGTTACGCGCACGATAGATATGATCTTTGACGTTAGGAACACACCTACATTGCTTAGACAACAGTGAGTGCTTGTAATTTAATATGAACTTTATACCATAGCAATAAAGCTCAAATTGACTACGTTTTAGTTACAAATCATTTGTATGGGAAAAAGAAAAGGGCTATTTTTAGGGTTTTTCCAGCAATAATTCTAATTTTTCTCGCCGTAAAAACCATCCTTGAACTTCAACGAACATTTTAAAAAAAGATTTGGCCAAATTGGTCGAGGCGTTGTTGAGTTATGCGCTTACCAACACATTTTGCGATTCATTTTTATATATAAGAAGAGTTTCATGAAGATTACAAAATATTATTATTATTATATATTACAAAAAAAGTTTTGAAAGACGGAATCATTTAAAAAATATATGCGAAAGAAAATATAGAGGACACGACTTCAAAACCCACACTGACAAATACATAATGTTATTAACACGTATGACAACACATAGTAAAATAATGTTCAATGCTAATATTATAAAGGGGTTAAGTTTCTAACTCTGTTTATTTGTCCAATCAATTCTAAATACTATTATTAATTAATTAAAAGCGACTTTAATATCAGTTTTTGGAGACACAGACCGAAACCTGCAGGGTGCTTCTGTAAAAAACCACATCCGAATTGGAATCCAGATCCGAAGTTTAGGACACATGAGTGAATGCACGTCATTTAGTGAAGAAATTCTATTGATTCCAATTTATGTATAAAAATACAAAACAAAATCGATCATTTATTCGTGTCTCAGATAATCTATTCCAGGACGCTTTTTGAAATGAATTCGGACACCTGAGTGAATTAGAGTTCGGGTTTGGATTTTAACAGAATCGCAGGGCTGGTCTTCGAAAAGCGAAATGAAACCGTCCGAACACTCCCCTTATGTTATTTGACATATCTATCGACTCCATTTAATTTGATTTATTTGGTTGCAATCAAATGGTTGCTTCGGACGTTTCGCTTTCGCCAGTTTCGACTAGTAATTTATACGAGTTGATTGCAACGCTTCTAATAGATTCTAATAGAACCTCCTTCATTATAATTTTGAATAATTACGTTCACATTATGTATATTTCTGCAACATAATATCATTATTTTTGAGCTACATGTCATATAACGCTAACATATATAACACTTAGACATATGCCGTCATAACAGTATGTATCAGCTGCCAGTATCATTATCAAAGCTCGTGAGTGTACATAATAACATATTACAATTAAAAAAATATATATTGTGAACTCCTTAGGGTCTCAAAAGTAGTAATTTCGAATCAAAAAATGTGTTTTAATTAATACCAAATATTCCAATTAAACTGCACGATCGCTGCATTGCTGTTGAAACAAGCATGCAAAGGAGTGACGTCATAATAAGTATGGCGGACTTTAATGGATGCATGTTTTGGTACCGAATTCAAGATAAAATTTTTGCATCTTGTATTATTTTTGGAAAAAATGTTTTACATATGGACAGTATGGACATACTAATAAACTTATGTTTATAAAAAAATATATATGAAAAATTGTCAATAGGAATAATATAAAAGAAAAATAATGCTTAGTTTTCGTATATTGCTCTCACAAAAGTATTACACAAATACTCGCGAAAGGTGTGCCAGACCCAAAGTTGATTTTTAAGTATTATAAGCTTTTACTATAAATAGATAAGGTTATGACTGAAAGAAAAAAGTAATTGTAATTAATATGACTTTAATTTGATATGATTTTTATTTGAGAAAAACATTGTTTTTTATAAATCAGGCTCTTATGCATGAATGCAGAGGTAAGATAACTAAAGAATAACAGAAAATCATTTTTTTTCTTATATAAATTGTCAATACCAGACGCCAGTCTGCCAAAATTTTCTTTACTATTCAACATAATTAGTTAAATATTTAAAATATATATTAAATATTTCAATAAACAAAAACACTGCCCCTGGCACTCTGATATGGGACCCGAACTCATGAACTTTGACAATCCGGACGACCGCTCTAACTACTGAGCTACCCAGCACCTAATAGTACTAATGAATTTTTCAAGCACTTGTTACTTTTTCACTACTACAGAGCGTATTTTCATCAATGTTCAGGCAATCCACCCAAACCATCTCAGAGTTCCATTTATTATTAGGCATATTTTTCAGTATAACATTGGGAATGCAAAATGAATCTATGTAATATAATAAAAAATGGTTAATTAGAAAAAGAAAAAAAAAATATTTGAGATCAGTTGTGAAAGTCGGCACTACCTTTAAGCAATTATGGCTTGCTTATAGTAAAGAATTACATGAACAAGACTGAAATACTTCGATATATATATATATATATACACATCATCCATCGTTTAGGTTTATCATATGTCATTCATTCGTAAATTAAATTTCAAAAAGGTAGATGTTACAGCCAATAAGTATACAAAGTTACTCCTTCGTAACTCTTATATAACTACCGCTTGGAGCTTTAAAATAGCTTTGGGGATCGTGATTATGCTCGCCCGTGTGTTCTAAAGCGACCAAGTCTAAACTGGTGACCAGTGTTGCCCTGCAGCCACGATGATATCTACTGCAGTACCATCGGAATTTATTTCCCGAGGTTCGTTTACGGTTATATGAAAAATTATTCCATAGAAGTAGTTTCGTCCCGTTATACATTTGGATTATCTGGCATTCTGTGAAAAAAAAAAAAGTTGTATTTAGTATATTTTCACTTTCATAAGAAATTGTAATTGGGAACAAATACATGACCTACGTATAACACTATCTTGATTGAAATGTAATACATATATTTTTTTCACTACTTTCTTTTCGCAATCGGGTTTTTTAATTTTTATAATTATATTTTTATTTTGCACTTTTGAGTTAGTTCTCATTGACTTCATTATTAGAACTATAAGACGGTAAAATTTCGCAACCTTGTCATTTCATTGAGGGAGTTTATATCGTGAGGATTATTAAGCAACTTGCGGTGATCTAAGGATTATTAGATCCTCTAGAGACCTCACTCGGCTCAAAGCTACAAATGCTTGACCTTTAGCAAAAATTCGCGAACTTAAGTCAACCACAGCTCGACCCGAAGTAGTTCTTGGCACTTAAAAGCTTAATAATTTGCGAACGGCTCGCTATATCTAAAAACGGTCTTCGCACACTTCTAATATTTTTGAAAGACCAATCCAACAATATCCCACACTAAAAGGAAATCGAAATAATAAACATGATTGTTTACGCTGCATGTAGGGGAAGTACCTTAAAAAAAATTTTTGATTGCTGTTATGTGTTTAGTGACATGACACTCGCAAAACAAATCGATTGGCGTATATATCATCAAAATTGGCCAAGACTCGTTCATGTATTCGTATAATTATTTTCGCTTATTATATAATTCATTAAGTACCTCCCGTCTTTCTAAAAGTTAGCATTCCAAGTCTTCAACTAGGACTCGCTTCCTACTATCATAAGCTCCAGATTACTACTTATTATTCGTACTAACGCACTGAGTTCACTCTTAAGTTTAAAAAAACAAAATTAAGCACCATTTCGATTTCATCAAATTTAATAAAATTATCAATAATATTTTGGTTTCACTAAAGTCCTCCGTTACCAGTGTAAAAACTCGAAAAATTGTGAAAAGGCATTATTACAATTACTTAGTTGAGAACAATATAAACTTTATCAATAATACTTATCAACTATATAATAAAAACTATAATAATTTTAAAATTTTGATCACATTTCGTTCCAAAATTGTTTCCGAACCACCTAATAATAACAATCATTCTATAATTACGAAGAAAGAGTGTCCTTTGGTAGATAACACTGTTGTATTTATAATAATATATTCTCTCATTTCACATTTAAAAACAACGAAATTTACAATACGTATTTTGTTTATAGTCCGGAGAAGGCCTATGTTATATGAAGATTTTATACTTATACATCAAACGTTTACAGTAACTTGTTTTATATTAAGAGTATGAGTTCCAAAAAGTTTATTTACATAGGCTTAAGTCTTCTTGAAG